TGGCAAAAAGGCCCCAGCTGGGGAGCAAGGATCGGTTTATAGCATTTGTGCCAGTAGAGAGAGAGAAAAAATCTCATGGGGTGAGTTATATGTACAAAAATAAACCCAAACACAATTTGTGCTCTTGTAACTGGAAAAAAAAAAACCCAGCTTCAGTGTAAAGTCTGCTAGGGCAGTTTGGGGAACAATTCTGCCCTGCTGGTCCAAATTCTCCACTGCTGTGTAAATTAGTGCCACTCCAGTTCTACTGACAGGAATCCAGTGACAGCGAAGCAGCAAGCCACGGCATGCACCTTCAGGCCTCATGAACAACCCTATCGCTGCAAGCCGGAGCATGCCCCCCTGAGTAACCCTGCAATAACAACCTGCAATGGTGCTGGGCAGGGCGCAGTCTGGACAGTGCTTATGAGCAGGCATCACAAACCAGCTTGCCAGGCATGGAAGGGAGGGAAGGGAAGAGTGAAATCAGGAAGGAAACTGAGCTCCATTTCAAAAATGTTACCATGAACATCTGTGCTAAGTGGGGAGAGATCCCCTGACAGCATCTCTCCCAGAGAAAGGCCTGTGGAGAGCAATCACTGGACTGTGACCCAAGCCCTCTTGGCATTGCAGTCAATGGATCAGGCCAAGATGCATTAAAAATATACTGGCCAGCAAAGCACATCCTCCACAGTTCCCAGGATTGTTACCATATATAGGCGGGGGGCGGGGAGCAGAAGGCATCTGAGGGAGGCTCAGTGGGGTCTCGCTAAAAGCCAGAAAAGTGTCAATAGAAATAGCAAGGTGGTTTCATTGTCTGAAAAGCAAAGGGCTCTCTTTAATTCTCTTCTTGGTGCAACACGGGGCCAGAGAGTGCCCCCAGATGCCTGCAAGCCTGCACCATAGTCAGATCTAGGCAGGCTGCACTTGATGGGCCAGCATCTGTGGCCATACACCATCCTTTTGCACCCCCACAAGCCCACAAGCTCTGGAGTGACTAGAGGCTGCATGGATGCTCCAGTAAATACTGGTCTGAAAGAGGCTGCATAGAGCCATGGCAGCGGCTGAGGATGACTTGAGAGGTCTGCTCCAGCCAGGCCACCTTCTTAGCACGTCCCACAGGCTGGGCTGGAGGAGGGGAGGGTGGGGGGGCACCTCAAGGTGTCTCCCACTGCCACTTATGTGGTCTGTCTCCTGTGTAGTTGAAAGTACTGACCAGGGGTACCTTCAGGGCAGCTTTGCTGCTTCTTTTCCAGGTTGGGCAAATGTGGAGCAGGCACAGGTACGGGAGATGTGGTTTTCAGCAGCCTTGTCAGAAGCAGCACAGAAGTGATATAAATTAACCCTAAGATCAGTTTGCCCAGGGTCACCAAGGGAGTCTGGGATAGAGCAAGGACTTGAATCTAGGTCTCCTCCAAACATATTCTGTTCCATTCCCTCCTGTTTCCATGTCACTGTTGCCTTTTAAACAAGGAGATAGGGAGGCTGGCCCAGTGGGGCCCAAGAGAATTACATTGTGTTCTGCCACCAATTCCCTTGGTGACCCTGGGCAAATCACTTGGCCTATTAGTACCTCAGTTTCCCTCTAAACAGGGAGGGGAGCAACCCTGCCCAGGCTCAAAAGGATGTCATGAGGATAAATTCATTAATATTTGTCAAGCAATCAGGTACTAAGACAACGAGGGGCGAGAGAAGCACTGAAAACACATGGACCTTTATAGAGAGGGGAACCTCAGGGGACTTTAAAAGAGCTCTAGGTGGGAAATGTAAGCACAGGTCATAACTCTGCCTGCTGCATGACCTGCAGCGATGGGTGCCTCCCAGAGCTGGGAGGCCGAGGTGCTGCTGAGTTCAGCTTTCTGAATGTCACAGAATGCAGGAACCTGCAAGCTGAGCCGAGCTTGGGAGAAATGGACTTTTTTGGGAGTGAAAGAGCCCTTGGCAATGGGTTCAGAGCCAGGTCCTAAATATTTACTTTGTGTGAGTCAAATGGAGCAAAATACTCGGTGCCAAGATAAAAGCAGCCTCAGGAATGACCTGCAAAGGGAGAGAGACTTGGCTTGGGCCCTGTTCTGTTCCTCTATTGTGCATGAAGGGGCTGAAAGGGGCTTTCCCTTCTACTTCGTTCCCCCTTACCTTGGAAATGCAGGGCCTTGTTGCATGATAATATAACCAAGGAGGGATTTTTGCTCCAGACCCAGGAAATTGCCTGTCTTGGGCCTCACTAAGCTTCATTATGGTGCAGGGGGCTGCTGCTTCATTGGCACTTCCCAGACCAGCAACTGTTTGATTCACACAGCATTACATGCACCTGCAAAACTGTGAGTGAAAATGGGTGGTTCAGAGCAAGACCTGTGTCTCTCCAGGCAGGGGAGCTGGGCAGCTCCCCCAGCAACAGTGGGAGTGGAGAGGACTGGGTATGGGGTGGGAAGGTATATAGGGTGTGCAAGCTTCATGTATCATGTAGCAAACAGTAATTGGATGGGATGTGGCCCTGGTCATGGAAAAGACGGGACAACGTCAAAATATCTGCTGCTCCACGGGTCCTTCCATTTCAGCCTCCCTGCAGGAGATCTCAGGGGCTACCCCAGCAACTGGGATGCTGCAGCCTGCCCCAAACAATCCCGCCAGGGGATATCACACCAAAGACACCTCCTGCCCCCTTCATGAATTCCTCAGCAGGCTGCTCAGGGTAGTTTGCCTGCTGGGTGCTGTGATGTCACGCACCAGATCTACTGGGTCAAATCCAGTGCTGGTGAAAACTGCAGTAGCTCCATGGATGCTGATAGAATTGCACTGATTTACAGAGGGGTGGTTTGCCCCAAGTCCTAATTTGGGGACCCAACTGAGGGCTGTCACATATGAACCAGAATCCCAACCCGTTGGGTTGCCTTTCGTCTAGCCATTGCTTTGCCTAACATAGTTTAGCAGTATGCAAGGTTGTTGGCACAGCAGACAGATAAGGATTGCTCACAATGGGCCAAGGAAGCCTCAGAGAATAGGCTGGAGGAAACAATCCCAGCCCCAGGGGACTGATTCAGTGATTTCATTGGCCTTTTCCATCTGACTACTAGGGTTATTCAGAGACACAGCTGATGATTTCCCTCTCGCGCGTCCCTTGGCCCAAGCACAATGGAGCCCTCTCTTTGCTGAATGCCGCACTTCCTGGATGCTTGGCATGCAGCGCCTGTGTGTCGCGTGATCCCCTCGCTGCCTCCGCTTGACCCACTCTGTGTTTACCTCCATTTCCTCTTGGCTCAGGGCTGCTTCCCACCCACTCTGTGCTTCCCTCCCTGCCATTGCCAGGGCAGCCTGTAGCAGGAGGGAACAGATTCCAGGAAAACATCCCCAGCAGAGACAGCCAAAGGTCAGTGCCCCATTGAGTCCACAGGCGGCTGAAAGCTGCTTGTGCTGTCACATCCCTCGAGTCCATTCAACCCTCCCAGAAAATCCTAGAAACATTGGGCAACGGCTCCAGGGACAATATTAACTCATTGTGACCACTTCTGTTCCCACCCTGCAGGTTTTCCCTCTCTCAGGAGTCCTGCCACACACTACACAACCTTATTTCCCCCATAAAAAAAAAATAAAAAGCCAGTTTCTTCATCCTCTTCCCTAAGATTTTTGCAAACCATGATCCTGCAGTGCATTCCACACAGACCTAACCCATGCCCCCAGATGCTTGAGCAAACCCTCAGATATCAGGCCTCAAAATCATCAGAACAAATGTTGGGTTTTCAGCACCACAGCCATTAGTTTAGCAGCTGGGGATGCCTCAGTCCCACTGTGGGTCTAAAATAGAGCAAAACCAGCACAATTCCACTGCTCAGGGTGTCAGGTGGGTCAAGGCACAGGAAACCTATGTAATGAGTTTGTTCTCCCCATGGGTGGTTGAGTATTGCTTCTTGGGGGATTCTTGGGCATTGGGATGTTCTGGGCATGATCAACAGGGGTGGGTGACGGGGATGAAAGGCAGCAGACAGAGACACTACACAGACCAGGGGTTTCCACTCTGATCAAACAGAGCTGCCTGGCACAAAGCAAGTGCTGGCTGATTGCTCTCTCCAAAGCCCTGGAGCTGGTGGGCCAGTGGTGGCTTCAGTGACAGACCCCTAGAGCAGAAGTTGCCATTCCCAACAGGAGCTTCACACATGTAAACCCATTGAGGCTGATGCCTTGCCAAGTACCCATACAGGCAGAACTGCGGAGAGAACTGCTGGTCTAGTGCTAGCTCCCTCTGGGTTTGCTAGCACTAGACCAGCAGTTCTCAACTTTTTTAGACTCAAGGCACCCCTTGTTAGACTCCAGACACCCCTCAGAAAATGCCAGGTCTTTGTTTTCACTTATATTTTGACTATTGAAAAATAATACAGCCATTTTCCTGTTGTAAAGAACTCAGAAAGACCACAACAGTGCAGAATGTTTTTAATGCTACTGATTCCTATTTGCAATCTCTGGGTTTATTCTGTGAATCGGGTTTGCACACCTAATAGTGCTAACATTGCATTGTACCCCACAGCACCTTTGAAAGGATCTGATGGCACCCCAGGGTTGAGAGTCACTACAGTAGACACAGTAGTGATGGTAACACCCTGGGAGCATGAACTGAGGCCAAGTGCTACAATTTTCCTATAGGAGTAGCATCTCACCATACAGACTCCTGAGCCCATGATCCATTGTCCATCCCGTGCTCCTGTCCCTGCACGGCACTGCATCATGCCCAGACTTTCCCTGTGTAGCTGTGCCTCTGCCTTTTAAGGGGCTGATTTTGCTCTACTTTAGTCCTCCAATGGGGCTGAGACATCTTCAACTTCCGAACAGGAGAACACTAAGAAAGCAATCAACCATGCCCTACCACCCCCTGTTTGCAGCACACTGGCTTCACCAAGCTAGAGCCCTACCCTCACCAAAGGATGGAAGTAGGCAGGGAGGCATTAATCCCCTTCTCTACGGGGTCTTCTTTGGCACCTGTCCCTGTCATTGCAATGGTAAAGGGATGCCAGGATGTAGGGAGCCCTTACCATAACTGATGCCATCAGAAGGGGACAAGAGCAGCAAGAAGCTGGAGGCGCAGTGTTCAGAGGACTCGATGTCCACATCCCCGAAGGCCAGGAGGAGAGAGCTCCTCTCAGCTGCCTGGATCCTCCACTCGCAGGATGTGTGGTTGGGATAGGTGCCGGGGTAGTTCTTGGAGGTCAGCGTCCCGCTGCGTGGCGTCAGCACCGTATGGCCACATCCGTCCCCTGGAATACAACAGGGCTAGGCTTAGTTCAGACACCAGTAGCGTGCTGGCCTTTCAGCCAGGACGTAACTCAACTAGACATGCCCAGCAGGTCTGAGTGCTAACAGATATGTTAAAACAGAGGAAGCAGCAATGGTGGAGGAGTTGTCATGGTGCTGACTTCATGGTGGCATCCCTACATCTGCTACCGACTCACCGAGCAGCCTCGGGCATGTCTGTGACCAACTCACCTCTGACACTGAGGGCACTTCTGATTTCTCAAGTGTGGCATCTGCGACTTCAACTGAAGGCAGAGGGAGCTGGGACTTGATTCCCTGCGCTCCCTGTAGCGCAGGCTGAGCTGCTAAAACCCAGGCTTCCAAAAATAGGGGGAAGCTTATTTTTCTGTGCTTCGGTTTCCCCATGTTTAATGGGAGAGAATAACTGGGCTCCTGTAAGCATTGATTAATAGTATCTACAGAGTGATCAAAGGCATCCTTGATGGCAAATGCTACAGAAAGAGACCATCTGTATTATGCTGATGAAAAGTGTACATTATTGCATCAGAATTACTATTAACCTTGAAGGAATACATGCTGAGGTGTGACAGAGCTTTGTCCATGTCAAATGAGCTCAGCTAGTTTCCAGGGTTTTACAAGCAGCTTGAAAAAATGAAGTCTGGAAAGGGGGCATGCAAACAAGAAGAGATGCAAATCCGGCAACCTCTGTCTTACTGTTTCTATCTGAGCACCTCTCCCACAGAGAGGACAGTACAGAAGTGTCGTGTCCTTTCCTAGAGCTGATTTGTTATCTCATTTCTCCCTAGCTGTGTGCATGACTTCATCTTCTTTTTTTCTAATAGTTTTTCATTGTGCGGCAGTGTTGAATCACAGGCCAGATCCAAAAGGTGTCTGACTCTGATCTAGGTGTCCAAATGCCTACTGAGTTCAATGGAATTAGATTCCTAAATCTTTTTAGGGGTCTGGTCCAGTTTTTCTTTTTAATTGCCCTTTTAATCTATAATTTGCATCAGAAGAGCACATAGCATCATAAACCAAAAGAAAGCCCCATTGTGTCAGGTGCTATATAGGCACATAGTGTGTGAAGTGCTTGCTCCAGAGAGTTTACAACCTAAACAGACAAATGGTAGTGGGAAACAGGTATGGAAAAGTAAAAGGAGTTGTCCAAGGTCACACAACAGTGGCAGAGGCAAGAAGAAAATCCAAGTCTTTCATCCCAAAGGACTAACTGCAGGTGGTGTTGTGCCTGCCTGACCTCAGACCTCTGGCCTAAGATGCAGGGTCTGGTTCTCTTTTCTCTTACGCTGGTTTTGTACTGGGGAGTTACTCCTGATTTACGCCAGTGGAAGTGAGAAGACAATGCGATCCTTGGGCTTTTATGGGAGTGCAGTCAAGATCTCAGGATTTTCCTCACTGGCATAACTCAGTGCTCAGCACAATGGGCCTCAGTTTGGGTTGGGACCTTCTAAGTGCTATTTGAATGCCAGTAATAAGTAGCGAAAATAAACCGTGCGCCATGTGACATGGTTAAGTGGGTACAACACAAGCCTAGGAGTCAGAGCACCTGGGGTCCATTCCTGACTCTGTCACTGACTTGCTGTGTGACCTTGGGCCTGTCACAACTCCTCTTTCTCTTCCTGCCTTTGGTTTCCCTTGTCTATTTAGCTTGTAAACTCTTCAGGACAGTGTCTGTCTCTCACTGCGCAGCACCCACCACAAAGGGCCTTTTATCTTGGTCGGAGCCTCCGGGTACTGCTCTGATGTAATGATTAAGCTGATCCGAGCTGTTTGAGAAGCTGTGGACTGGCAGCTATTTGTTTTCACCACAAGCCTGAAAAAACTTAAACCAAATCACATCTCCTGCCAGTTTGCCTTCTGGTAGCATCAACATGCGGTTAACCAGAACCAAGGATTCAGCCCCCTGTGCCTTCAGAAATCACAGCTCCCTCTATCCACTGCTAACAAAGGGTTTTTCTGTTCTCCGTACAGGTATAATACCCATGACAACAAAGCCAGATCCTACTTTACTTTGCAAATACAGCTGGCCTAGTGAAAGGTAACTGGTCGGCTTCCAGTTAGGTTCACTTTCCTGGCTGTAGCTAGCAGCTGTGTCTCATTACCTATCATGGTAGAGACATGCTTCTTCCATTTAGAGCAAAAAGCTTGACTGTATTTCGATAATATTTTTACATGGTATTGCTCTTCATATCTCTAAGCCACCTTGTCCCTTTAAAAAAGGAGGAGTGGTAAATTTGGGACTTAAACTAAATTGGCAGGTCCCTTAAAAATGAAATGTCAAGAAGGATGGGGAAGGTCACCCCGGTTCTGCTTCACCTGGGGTCTATTCATTGATCGGTGCTTCTAGGTCAAGGTAGATCCTGGCCAGTGCTGTGGCCAAGTACGGTCTGTCTCTCCTGTCCTTTGGGAGTGTGTGAACCACCCATGCTGACCAGGTGACCAGCATGGGTGACACCAGGGCAAACTGGAAGCTTCGCTGTTTGTTTCGATGACTCCAAGACTGCTGCCAGCCCATGAGCCAGGGTTCTGTCCCCGCTGATACACCTGCTCTTCCACCCCATAAAGCCCCCTTTTTCACCAGCCGCCCCCTCAGCAGCACGTGGTCCGTAGTTGCTATAGCACACGCTTGCTGGGCGAAAGCCTTTAACAGAAGAGGCACTGTGAGGCCAAATATCAATTAGGCTCCTTCTCTTGCTTTTCAGCCTTTGTGCAGCCTGCATTTCAAATGAATGAGGCTGTCTCCCAAACCGTCCCCCCCATCCCTGGCCCAGCTCTCCTGCAGCCGGACAAAAAAGGAACATTGAAGGCCTCCATTTTTCCTGCTGCTTTTGCTTCTCTCTCTGGGAGATGAAACCATAGCACTGAAAGCTTCAGAGAAACCAGCCAGCAAGAGCTGACAGCCGGAGGCAAAATTGTTTCTCTCCACTGCTCTCCAAATGCATGGGCACACACTCACCTCGCTTCTGCCAAGCCAGGAAGCTACCGTGGCCCTGCTGCCCTTCCAACACTGACCTACTGAGGAGGAAGCTGTGGGGAGGAAGGGGAGGCGAGAGGTTTGTGTCAAGCCAGGCTACTGCCTGCAAGTGCATCCAAAAGTAGCTGCCAGGGGTTTGATTCCAGTCTCGCAGTGTAAATCAGGAATAAATAATAATCCCTAGCTCTTATCTAGTGTTTTCTATCAGTACGGCTTAGCATCCTCCCAGCTTTACAGAGGGAGAAAGGGAGGTTCAGGGAGGTGAAGAGACCTGCCCAAGGTCACCCAGCAAGCCAGTGGTAAAATAAAGCACAAGATTCCTGAGTGCCGCTCTGATGCTGTATCCACTAGGCCATACCCCCTCCCCATGGGTGTTAAGCTGGTATAATTCAAGCACCCAAAAGATCAGACTGGGAAGCCAGTAAAATTGGTTGTTCTTAGCACCACTGAGAAGGGCAGCTCTCTGCCAGACACAAGCTGTCCCAAGCCCTCAGCATGGTATCCAGCAGCACCAGGTCTGGAGTCACGTTCAGTCTCCATGCCTGGTTCAAACCAAGTTTTTTCCTCACTCCTTCTCCAACAACAGGTCCTGCATTGCTTCCACTGAAACCACTGGGGTTTTGCCACTGACTGGCATAGGAGCAGGTCCCCACTTAGTATCTGCCACGGACCACTGAATGGCAGCAATGTTCAGTATGCTTAGCGAGACCGCATCTGTCCGCATCTGACCGCCCCTGCTGGGGCCTGGAAGCCTCTGGGCAGGTCAGCTGCATCTATGTACAACATCTGTAAGTCCCAGACTAGCTCCGTGCCTGTGGACAGGCCCCATGGGGCCTTGCAACACGTGCAGAATCACCAGCACAGCCCAGAGAGCAGGTGACCTACCGTCTTCCACTGAGGCTGGCCACTGACTTCAACAGGACCCTAAACAAAGGCCCAGATGCTACGGAGGCCCCCCTTTCTAACCTGACACCAGCCACCAGCTCTCAGATGAGACCCAGTATTTCCAAACCGCATCGGGGCAGCACTGACCTGCATTGTACACAAGGAGGAAAAGGAGCAAAGGTGAGTGTTTTTCCTTGAGAAAGAAAGAGTTTGCTGAGTTTTATGGTGAAACTGGTGCTGGTACGAACAGCAAGAGGGGGGAAATTCCAGATGTACCCACAGAATGGGACGACCCCAAGACAAGCCCTTCCCCTGTCCTCCAACTTCCCCAGGGCTGTCCCCTGGGATTGATAGATCTTCAGCCTCCATGACTGACTTTGCCCCTCTCTCCAAGGGGGCTGCCAGGGATGGCGGTTTATGGCAGTGGTTCTCAAACGTTTTTGTACTCGGACCCATTTGTAAACATCAATGGCTAGTCCCGACCCAGCACCCCTCAGTCTTGACCTGCTGCCCCCCACCCTCAGGCCCCAGGCTCCCAGTGTCAGCCTGCAGCCAGCAAGGAAAAAGCCAGTTTCCCACATTTTTCTCCTTTATAGGAGAATCCATTTTAAAAGTTTGTTTGTGACTCTTTCATATATTCTTGTGACCCACTTTTGGGTCACGACCCATGGGTTGAGAAACGCTGGTTTGCCCACTAGAAGCTGTGTTTAAGCTGCCAGCTCTGCTCACAGAAGCCAGTCCTGGCTGCCAGACAGGAGCGAGTTTTGGTGCTGTCCAATCTGGTGGGAGACTCCTCACCAGTGATCACAAGGACCTCACCAGTGATCACAATACAGCCACTGTGAAATGTGCTCTATCTTAGGAGTGCAGGTGCTGCAGAGAGAGGGGTGTTGCAAGACTGGGAAAGAACGAGGCAGTATCCAGGCCAGGAGACTCCGACAGGAGCTGGGCTGTGCTGGCAACATTCATCCCATGTCCCCAAGGGGCTACATCTCGAGCTGGTGTTAGCCAGCATCACTCCATGCAGCTCCACTGATGGATACCCCAGGAGGATCTGGCCAGGACCAGCCTGGTGATAATCTAAAAAATGCTCAGCTTGTTTCATTTTTGGGAGAAGCAAAGGGC